CCCCCACAACCCGCCCGGCTCCCAGTGGTTGCCCCACATCTTTCCCAAAGAGATGGGTGAGACCAGGACTTGCGGGGCTGAGCACTCTGGTCTGCGCACCCCAACCCTCCCCAGTCTTGCTCACTTTTATTGGCACCCACTGAGATGCTGGGACGTGCCTCTGGGGACACAAACTGCCCCATTGTAAGCTCTCGGTTTCTGCCAGCTGGAAGGAGGAAGCTCTGCGACAGCAAAGGACCAGTCTGCAGAGCAGCTGTGCCTCAGGACATGGATGCAGCCCGCAGGGCGCTGTGGCTGGTGCACTTACCTGGATAGTAGATCTCACTTCTGGTGGTCCCCTCCTTCCACTGCCGGAAGGTCCCCGAGATGACGGTGTCGGAGATATCCGCCCAGTACCGACCTGCAGGAGGACAGACTGGCTCAGCTTGTCCCTGCTGGGGACAGCTCGGGAGCTGAAGTCTGAGCCATGGAGCAGCCCTCCAGGGTGAAGGATGCCAGCTCCAGGGCCTCGACACACAGAGGAGCACAGCTGGATCTGGTACACAGGCCACCTGTGTGACTGGCCATATCCCATCAGCCCGGGCTGTTTGGTGTCCTTAAGCCCCATTGTTTCCAGTGTGTTTGGCATTTGCTCCCTGCTGAAGCACTGTGAGACATGATGCCTGCCAGCGCCTGCCAGCTGGATGCGGAGAGTCCTGGCCACACGACGTGGCTTGCATAGAGACCTGCGGGTGCTGCAGGACACCATGGGGGCTGGTGCCCACCCAAGCAAGGGCTGTTATCCAGCACTGAGCGCCCTGTCCAGAAGTGGAGCAGTGGGCTTCCTGCCCTGGGCATACCATGAGCGGGGCAGAAGAACATGAATGAGTGGAGTGGAAAGAACTCAGAGAACCCCCACACCTGCCAGCTCTGCCCCCCTGCTTACCCGAGTGGCCTCCAGTGTCGACGGCTGTCCCAAAGAGCAACACGTACTCGGTGAGTGAGGCATGCAGGAGGCACATAGAGCCCATCCACCCGCCTGCATTCACGAACACCCACTGAAGGTCCTCATCTGGCAGGATGTGGCCTGGGTGCTTCTTCCGTAGCTCCACGATGATCTTGGAGAAAGCCAGCTCATGGTCCAGCCCTGCAGCACCCAGGGTTGCTGTGAGTCCCTGGCACGGAGCAAGACCTGCTCTCCCCCC